CCTTGTCCTGGCATTGGCCATCCCAGAGCAGAGCCTGGCTCCTTCCTCCTGACACTGCCCTTTACAAATTGATCCCCATGAATGAAGTCTCCCCTCAGTCTCCTCTGCTCCAAGCTCAAGAGCCCCAGCTCCCTCAGCCGCTCCTCAGCAGGAGATGCTCCACTCCCTCCATCATCTTTGTGGCTCTGCTGGACTCTCTCCAGCAGTTCCTGTCCCTCTTGAACTGAGGGCCCAGAACTGAACACAATACTGCAGATGTGGTCTCACCAGAGCAGAGGGGCAGGAGAACCTCTCTGCCCTACAACCACCCCTTCTCATCCACCCCAGGATGGCCTTGGCCTTCTTGGCTCACATCCGGGCTGGATTTAAACTACCGTTGTTAATCGTGGCAACGAGACAAAACAGTACTAAAAATAACATCAAGTATCACCACAGCATACTCAGAAGCCAGTATTCATACTCAGAATACCACCCCCAGGTGATGGGGACTCGACACTTCACTCCTGTAACTACGGGGCAGGGGAAAGGAGACTCGTGCACTACTGGAGAGGGATCTGCCCCAGCCACAGGGGTCAGCAGGACGGATCCAGATGCTGAGTCTCCAGCTGCTGACAATTCTTTCATTACACTGCACCTAAAACCAACACAAAGAGTTGACAAATTTAATCCACCGCACGCACGCTCCCCACGGATTAACACAAAATCCAGAATCACTGTCACATGACAAAAGAATGATTTTATTAGAGCAACTTTATGATAAAATTATATAAAATAACAATTTATTTTTTGCTTTTAAAGACGTCCACAATATCACCTTGAAACAAATGTACAGATACTGCCTATAATCCAAACAAAAATAAATAACCATTCAAAAAAAAAACAACCCTAAAAGCAGGGGGAAAAAAAAATCAGGGCAGGAGAAACAAATCCAAATTATACACAGCATTTCAAGAGGGCGTGAAGAGAGAAAGTCATTAATGGGTTCAAGTTATACAAACGTGTTTCAGCTTTACTCTCAGACAGCTCAGCTTGCATTTGTGTTGCATGCAAATGGAATGACCCAGTGAACAGTTCAGAACAGCAGAATCAGCAGCATTAACAACAGCAGAGAGTGAAATAGGCACAGTTCAGCATGGGGCACATCCAAAGTGAACAGGTAGTTCTGTCTGGTCTTTGCCAAAGTTATACACAGTTACCCAACTTCAAAAATAGCCAGCGCGATCTGCAAAACAAGGGAAAAACTAGTCGAGTCTTGCACTTAAATACTTTACACTATTTCATCCTTTATTTTGTCTCCTCTCTCTCAGTAGGCTGTATGTAAACATTCCACTAGTTGTACCTTTACTAAAATACTCTAAGATGATGCAGACATCCTTTTCTCCTGGAGCACAACCACAGCACGACACCGCTGCAGGTACATTGAGGTCCTCGCTCAAAGCCCGTACACATTCTCGCAGGTATTTACATTCGCACCATCAGAACAGAGCAACAGGTATTGACGTTTGTGAGCATCGAACTGAGAACATGGTTTTCAAGTATAGTGGAAGAGCCGAGGGCTGGGATTTGGAAAGGTGCTCACGGCATCAGGCACCCAAAGCGTATGGAAACCCAAAAGCACCCGAGCACTTCCTTCCCTAAGACTGAAAATCCCACCCTCCGTTACATTGCTTTAGTCAGATACAAAACACACGAAAGCAATATGGTGTGAGAGTGACCCCCTACCAGACTCAACGGGAGGCCCATTCGCAGCTCAAATGGAAGGAAGTCAACAGGTTTCTCATGGACTGATCCTGGGCCACCCCAACACAGCACTACGCATCCATTCGGGTCACAGCGGAGTCACACAGAGGCCTGTTTTCATGGTTGCGTACAGTACTGCTCGTAAGAATGGACAATCAATGAAGTGTAAGAGTCAAGGTGGCTCTTTGGCTTATCTGGAGCAGACAAGGGCAAACGGGGTGTACTTCAGAAGCAGTGAATACAAGAAAAAACCAGGATGTATTTCAGCATTGACTAGCAAAACTTAAATGCAAAGATGCAAGGACACAGAAGCGTTTTACAGTTTGGCTGAGTCACTAAACAAATCAAGCTGTGCATCCTCCCCCCTTCACACACACACACACACATTTCCAAATTATAAACAAACACTGACTGCTGTAACCTTATTAGTCACTCGAAGAGGTACCAGATTTTGCAGGTTGATTTAACTGATGTAAGGTGTCTGTGGGCTTTCAAGTTCAGAACAGAGCAACCAAGGAAGAAAATCCATCCCTGACGTGTTCACGAAAGAAAGAAGAATCAAGCGCTTTTCAATCGAAAGTAAACAGAAGTCTCATCAAGGACACATCGTAGAGAAACAAAACCCACTAGAGCATAGCCATGAAGATGTGGAATCATGGTTAACGAATAATAAAAGTCAGAAGTCCGAGTACTTCACTTGTCTCTACAGCAAAACGGAAACTAACAGCAACACCTTATCTGTGAAGGTCCTTCAGCTCCCAGTGAGTTGGGGTAGCACCTGGTCGGTTCAAACCCTAACCAAGAAGGGCCTGAAAAGTTGTGTCTCGTACGTCAGGACCGATACCACCACTTACGATATTCATCAAGGACACAGTCAGGTATTTCAAGAAAAAACAGATCAGAATAAATCGCCGAACGTACACATTCAGACAGTGCGTATATTACAGGCAGAAGAACATCAAGGCCAAATTCTGGTTTTATTCTGCATTCAACTACATGAAATCCAGCAGGTTTCTTCATGGAAGAGCATCTCCACACAAGCAGATGAGTCTTAGAACCTACTGGAAATCTTGGAAGGGTATTTGCATCTATTGTTTACCAGCCAGCATCTCACACCCTCAAAAGAAACCGATGGCCTGTTGGGACCGATCCCGTTTCTGCTGAACTCGATAGAAAGCTCCCGTTGGCTTCACCAGGAAAGCAATCACGTTCTTCACTAGTAAGATTAAACACTTTGTGAGTATCCCTATTTATTTAAATTATTTGAACAGGTTCCCACTGTTACAACATTCTAGCAGAAAAGCTGAGGTAACTACAGAAGCTAACTAAGGAATCCACGACCCACCCCAAAATATAAAGTCAGCACACAAGAAGCAGTCAAGCTTGGAAAACCATTTTCACTGGTTAAACTACACACCGTATGAGGGCAAAGTGGAACTCATCTGCTCACCTTTCCCAGTAAACGTATCCTCCACAGCTACAAAAGAAATTCTTTACTCGATTACTGTTTAATGACCAGGAAGAATGAAAAAGGAATCAATACAAGACAGGAAAAAAAAAAAAGCTAGGAGCAAACATATCTGGAAGAGATCCCCTCAAAACCAAAGCTTTTGTTCTCAAAGCAACCAAAATTGCTCAGTGTTTTGCAGTTTAACAGAACGACAGAATATAAAGATCAACTTTTTTTAAACAAGAAATTGCTCGGTGTAACTGCACACAATCCTCAGTATTCCCAGGATTAAAACGGACCAAAACCAAAATCCAGGCAACAATCCCAAAGGTACCAAGTGCTCGACACTGCTGACCACCACAGAACGGTGGTCTTCAAGCACTTCTGCACTGAAAGGAAACTCGTAACAGAACTAGCCGTAAAGGTGGAGCTACATTTAAGCCATTATTTTTTCAGTGCTGTCGAGTGAACACCAGGTCACAGCAACAGTGCCATGAAGTTTATCACATAAGCCATTGGAACACATGTTTTTCTTAGCCATTAGCTAATCGCAAACATGTTAGTCCTTGGCCCAGCCAAGAGCACTTGTAGCTCACGATTGTATATTGTATATCAGCTTAAAGACAGCATTTATACCAAAATCAGGAAAATTTGGCAAGCTAAACTCTAAAACCTGACTTTTTGTACCTACCCCAATCTTTGGGCCTGAAACAGCATCAAAAATAGTAACTGTATTAGTAGTCTTTACATTCATGCTATGATTATTAACTTTTACACTTTCCCAATAGAAAAACAAAGGGGTTATTCTGTCGTGTTCTGGGGTGTGGACTGAAAAAAAAAAGGATGCACAACTGTAGTGTGGTTGCCTTCTTACGACTGTTGAAATGGACTTCTTACACATCCGCAGTAAGAGTTTCTCCTAGAAACCCACGATATTGCACGATCATTCTGTTGGAGTTGCACGCCGATTCCAACAGAGCTGTAATGCTTCACCTGTACAGTTAAATAAAAATAAAACAAATAAACCCAAAACAAATGGAGTACCAAAAAAAAAGTGGGTTTTTTAAATTGCGCCTCACTACAACTGATTAATCATAAACAGGCCGATGCAAGAACACTTCAGCTTCGGCAGCATTGAATGGAGAGTATGCAAAGCCTGTTTTCTTATGGCACACTGGAAGAATAAGTGAGTAATTTTCTAAAAATCAGTTTGCCTCTACGCTGAGTATGTGCTGCTCCACAGTGCTAGTCCTGTTTAAAAGGCATACACAGACTTTCCATTCACCCTCACAGCATAGATTATTTCTTTTTGTGCAACGTGTTAGCAATCTAAACAACTGCTCCACACAAACTGTCCACAAACCACTCGTACACAATACTAATGCGACAGTAGATTACAATATGACAGCGTTACAAAATATTGTATCAGATCACATATTTCTCTCCATCTGGAATGAAGTTTGATTCTTGCAGGGTAGAAGACCCACAGTTCGATTTCTGTGTGTAGTTTCTCATCTGTGCTGGGGACAAAGTCTCCAGTGTGGATCCAGAAGTGTTAGCAGTCCTGACTTTAGTGGCTGTAGATTGTTTAGCAGCAGAAGATGCTTTGTTACTGGCAACTACATCCAAGTTTCCAGTAGGGTCGATGATAGCGTTTATGACTGAGGGGGAAAGAAAGAAAAGAAAAGAGAAAGACATACACAGAGGTATTAGCAGCACCCAGCAGAGTTTCAGAACAGAACATTGCTGCCTTTGAAGGCAGTAGAAGCGTAGGTAGTACTCACCTTCATTTTAGTCATTGTATTTTCTTCGTGTACCTTCAGGCCTAAGCAGCTTTAACAAACTAAACCTCTTCCAAACTGAAGCTACACTCAACTTGCTCATTAAATTTGGAAAGACAGAGTACAACGGCCAAATGGCAAGCTTTTAGCAGGAGCCCAAAATGATGCCTGTATGTTTTCATAACTCTTTATTAAGCTACTGGATGATGCAAGAGCTTGTCGTGACTTTTCTATCGAATTGTGCACGTGGAGCTCTGTGCAAGTCCAAAAAGCACAGCACAGCTGATTGGCTGGAAAAGCTGCTAAGTATTATTTCAGCAAAACAGACCTTTGCCAGCTCATCTTATGGGAATACGCTGATTACTACAAACAAAGCATTTCCACAGCAACAGCTTCCACGCTGCAAAAGTCAACCACTTCCTTAAAAACTGGCAGCACTCTTGTGTACACCTACTGTTCGCTCCATATGCCCTCATCAGAGAGCACTAAGCTGACAAACTTCTGCTTCTGCATCCTTTCCCAGGCAAAACAAGCCGCGTTATTTTATTCTGTGCAACTTACTGGCATTTGAAGGATAAAAAGGACATTTGACATGACCAACCTTCAAGTTGTTTTTGAACTCTCCTGAGCTCCTTCAGGATAGAACTGATTTCCTAGAAACAAAAGCATCAGAAGGGAAAAATAAGCAACAAAATACTCAACCGACACAGGAGTCTTGCTCCTCTGCCTTATTTGATCAAGAAGATTCTAAGTCAGTCCCAACCTTGCATATTTAACAGAAAAGACAAAACTAGTATCCACAAAGATGATCAGAGGGATGGAAAACCTCTCCAGTGAGGAAAGGCTGAGACAGTTGGGGTTGTTTGGCCTGGAGAATAGAAGGCTCTGGGGACATCTTATTGCAGCCTTTCAATACTTGAAGTGGGCTTGTAAGAAAGATGGGGAGAGATTTTTTTAAGTAAGGCCTGTTGCAATAGGACAAAGGGTAATGGTTTTAAACTAAAAGAGGGTAAATTTAGACTAGATACAAGGGAATAACCTTTTCATGAAGCAGGTTGCCCAGAGAGGTGGTAGATGTCCCATCTCTAGAAACGTTCAAGGTCAGGTTGCACAGGGCTTTGACCAACCTGTTCTAGTTGAAAACGTCCCTGCTCACTGCAGCAGGTTGAACTACAGGACTTCTAAAAGTCCCTTCCAACTCAAACCACTCTGTGATCTGTATCCAGGTGCATCTGGTCAGTGCACAGGGACCTCTGCTCCGCACCATTTCACCAAGCGGTACTGCACCACTCAGTTCATAGCCGCAGTGGATTTCAGATTTGAAATGCTAGCCAGATTAACTGCACAAAGGCTCCTTAATACCAAATGCACAAAGATATTTGCAAACCCAGCTCCTACAGCAGACAAAGTGATTGGCCACATAAGCACTGCTGTAGCACTGAGCTACACAGGTCCTGCAGTTATAGTTATGCCTAGCACTAACCACACTTGCTGGGTACATTATTGTATTTAAATTCCTACTGACGGTCCCCATAAACGGCAATAAGAGATCATGAGAGCACAACCACCACCCTAGGGGTGAAGCTTTTTTATTGTCCTGTTATCAAACTGTTACAGGTGAAGAAAAAAAACCATTCACAGCAATCACCTGTCTAGGACTGAAGCTGCAGCAGCCACATGGCAGGTGATTCTTTGGTAGATGTTTAAATGAGGCCTAACGACCCTGAACTCGAACATCTGTTGAGGAACTGGGTTTTGAAGACTAATCACAAAGGGAAAAAAAAAAAATTGGTGAAACGCAACAGCTGGAGGAACTCACTTTGTCACAAACAGCCACAAAAGCCAGCAGTCAACACATGCAAATAGACTAGAAACTCCAGAAATTGATTTGAGAAGGGCTAGAGCTTGGGTTTTTTTGGTTTCTTACACAGCTTTCATGGATGTAAGCCTTTTGGTATTTCACTCATTCACACGGTCTTACCTTGTTTGATGTCTTCAGAATTGGCACTTCGTTTTCTGAATTCATTTTGGCCTCCATCTCTTCCCAGGTCCTTTCCGAGTTTTGAAACAGAATCCTGCAGCACAAAAAGTGGAGCAAGCCTTAAAAGTGCTATCCAAAGGCTGCTGGTTTAAAAGACTTAATTATCACAAGATGTGGCAACAAAGGAGATTAGCGGATTAGCGACCAGACAAAGCGCCTTTCAGCTGACTTAAGAACAATCCACAGTCCTTCCCTAACTGATGTCTTCTAGAACAACAACAGGCTTTGAAGAGCTTTCACAAGCCTTGGTGACCTGCAGGCTTTCTAAGAAGCTGGGGACAACAGAGGAAAGAGGAGACAATCCACCAACAGGAATACATGTGCTGCTAACCCTTTGCACAGGCAACGTTTCCAAGTTAAGGCATGACAAATCCAGCATTAAAATTCCAAAGGCCAAACAAATCAAGGAAAAGAGATGGCAAATAATCACGTTACCTCTCGTTCACCACATGCACAGTTTCCTACACGTTGAAGCCAAGACTTTCCAAGACAACAATGCATTATCTTCCATAAGTAGCAAGCCAACAAACTCAGAGGCAAGTCAACATTTCAGGCCAGGGCTAAAAAGTTACTTACTTCATTTTTTCAGCTAGGTTTTCTGTGTTTTCACGAATTGTATGTGATAACTGGGACACTGGGTTCAACATCAGATTGTCAAAAATTACCTAAAATACAAAGGCAGATCACAGAACTTTTAGCAGAAGTGGCATACTGCAAAACTGGAAATTTTTACAGTAAATGATCTCCACTAAAATATCTTCATCTATGGGGATGGCATCTGAAGCTCAAGGGACACTAAGAGGACGTGTGGTTTTGTTGCAGCACTTTTGCAGTAAAAATTTAACATTAACTTGTTCATTTTTCTCCAAAAAAAATCTTCAATATTTTCTTTTTCTTGGAGTGCACAAAGAGACAGACTTGTCTGCAGTAAGGTAACTACTTAAGCACTTCTGAAAGAAAAAGCTGAAGACTTTCCAAGCCTCACAGGCACTTCCCACCCCCAAAAAATCCCAAAAAACCAAATCACAATGCAAGAAGTCCCACAAACAGTCTCTCTGAAACCATCTAACGTGATGTGAAAACGCCAACAAAACCCAACCAAACACCAAATATTCAAGTCCTGTGGTTTGAAAGAGCTCCTCCTCCTCCACCAGAGCCAGCAGGCAGAAAACAAGCGGAAGCACCAGCTGAGCACTGCGTCAGCAGCCTGCTCCTCCACTCTCCATCACCACCACCCCGACACAGCCCTTACTCCAAACACCATCCCCAGCCTCAAGTTTCAGGCTTCCTCACCCTTTAACATCAGCTCAGTGATTTCCTAGGTTACCCTGCTCTCTCACCCCAGAAGAACTGCACCAAATCGCACACATTGGAAGGAACAACACAAAACAGGTGGTCTAAAGCCCAGCTGCAGGAATTTCTCATAAGGCCCAGATCCTGCCACTGCTGCTCTATGGACAGCTCTGCCCATTGCAGAAAAATAAGGTGCCTTTACTGATTAGCAGCAACTGTTCTCATGCCATGATTTCTGGCCATTAAACTATCAGTGCTGCATATTTCACAGTTAGGACTTTGGTGTTCTTCTTTTAAAGAGTAGTGAAATAGCCCAAGTGGGCTCTGACATTGAATGTCTCCTCCCAGACAACAAGTCACCAACTCTCGAGTTTTAATGGAGTTTTAAGAGAGGAAACTTCCAGTCAGTGTTGCCAAGAAGGGCGATTCTGTTCCTCTTTTATTTTTTTAAACACTGTTTCTATACCTTCAATTTGGGTCTCTTGAGAAGTGCAGGTTTTTTGAGTGGCCTCCTTTGACAGCTTAGAGCAGGTATACATACTGCAGCTTAAAGCAATGTCATCTATAAAATAAAGAAAAAAGGTAGCCTGCCTCCTCACGGTTTCTTGTCCTCGTTTTCCTTGAGGGATCCTCTTCTCTATTATCGTTCATATTTTGGTCAAAATCCTTCAGTTCCACTGATCCCGGAGGCACTTTCTGGTAGTTCAGACTTGCTTCTGGAATGTGCTGCACCAACTTGGAAATAACGAGTAATGAGTCATTAAAATTTAGTAGGGAAGGAGGCACACAGGCACTCACTGCAGGTACTGCAGATTTTCAAGCAAGCCCCAGAGGAACAGTGATTCATTTAAGTCTTGTTCAGACAGGTATGGGTTCCTAAGCAAATTACGAGACCCCAATCCTGCAAGCATTTACCCACTGGAGTCATCCTACAAAACTTGGTGGGGCTACTCTATAACGCAGCAAGTAGTTGAAAAGTACCTCTTTGCCTTTTTTGAATTTAAGCTTAAACTCAAAAAGGCCCTGTTTTCCCACCTCTTATCTTTTACTATATCAATGCAACATTAAAGCCACATCAAAATTAATCAGAAATCATTCAGCAACACATGGAAGAGATGAAAATGCAATACAAAACTACTGACAATACAAGTCATTAACAGCAAGAACAGAAAAGGCAAGACACCCACTCCTGTTTGGTTGACTGACAGGCAAAAGCTCTAAAAGAAGGGGAGGAAAAGAGCAGTGACAAGACAGAAATACAAAAATAATGGGATGGAAAGTGCACCTGAGATGGATATGCCAGCCGAAAAGATCTACGAGCAATCTGTGTTAAAACAGAAACAAAGAGATCAATGCTAGTGAATGACAGCAAGTATCAAAGAGAACACGTGGTCTGGGGTTATTCGGGGTTGACATTCCCAAAAGCGCATTCCTGAGGACCAGCACTCAATGCCCACCCCCTGCATGCACTGAAGCCCATGGGGGTCCTGGTCACCAACCCGTTCTGCAGAGGCGGTCTCGGGCAGCTCCCCAGTTACTCCGAAACGGACCGAGCTGAGTGAAATCCAGAGCACAGAGCATGGCCTAAACACAGCCCAGGAGGCTCTTTGGTTGGCAAAGCACACAGTTCTTGGAGGAAACCATGTGCCACCCAAGGTCCAGGCCCCCTACACTCTATGCAACAGCACTTGGGTTACAGGCAGGCAGAAGGTATGGGATATTATGGTACAGAGGCACCACAGCCAAAATGTTTAGCTAATAAGCTGCTTTTTTTTTTAAAGCATCTTTTCGTGAAGCGCAGAATCAATAAGTTAGGCTGCCTGCAGCAGTGAAACAGCATCAGAAGGGAATGAGATATTCCTCCAGTTCAGCAGTTCTCAGCACAACCACTTGAAAAGACACCAAGGGCAGCATGTGCTCCTCCATCACCAGATTTCCATACACAACCTGGCCTGGTCTCAGGCTTTCCGTTCTGTCACACCCCGTAAGCATTTATTCTCATCATACCAACACTCATACCACCGCACACGTTAAACAACAGTTTAACAAACGCAATTGGGCTCCTTCAGTTTTTGCTACATCACTATCAACTTTAAAAAAAGGCCAACCAAATTGTGCACAGGGCAGAAGTGGCCACTGCTCTGGGCTGACCCACTTGACTCTGCTTGCAGCGGCTGAGCCTTCAGTCCGACTGCTGAGCTGTGCAGAAAGCTGGGTCCTGTCAAACCTACGCGTCCACAACATCCCAAAGAAACCATGGCATTGGTAAACAGGAATCATGAAGGTTTCACCCTTGCTGGACCCTTTTTTATTTGTTTGTTTGGGGTTTTTTTTTTGCTTAATTTGTAGCAGTACTCAGCTCCTTATGTGAGGAATCTGGGTTGTTATATACTGCACAGCCAAGAGCAACAAAACCAAACCAAACCACCCCCAACATGCAGTGGGGAACTGAAAACCTCCCTGGCAAACATCCCAGCCAACACTGGACCTGAAAGGACAGAAGGACAGAATAAGGTTTCAACCTACGGCTTTAGCTTATAAGAGAACATTCATGATTTTCATCTTTAATCAGGCTTCTTAATAAAAGTGATTTAAAAAGCAGTTCATTTGAGGCTGAGAAATACTGTACCACACACTGGTCCAAAGTGAAGCTTCTGCTATGACATTAAACCCTCAAAAGTGATTCCAGCATCAGCACTTATTTTTCCTGCATTTTTCCCCGCTTTATTAGAGAACAGGTATAAATATTTAGTAGTAGTACATCAAAAGCCAGCAAAACTCCAATAGCCAGAGCAGTGTAAGAGACAGTCACACAGCAAACATCTCTTATTCACATACTTCCTTTCATCAGATGTTTCAAGACACTGCTGTTATAACTGCAGTAGCTATTTCTCACCATTATGTCATTTCCTAGAATATTTAATATAAAGCTGTTTAATAAACACCCACGAAATTCACAACGTTTAGCATCACACACATTGATCTTCAGATATTTCCTAGCAACTTCCCTACAGTATGTCAAAAGAATTGTTTTAGCACAGATTCAGCAGCACCCAGACTGAGGGACTCTGACTGACTCTAGTCCAGTTCCAAATACACCACGTGTGGTTATTAAACCCACGTCAGTTTATATTACCCCCATTCACAACACGACCCCCAAGATACACAGTTCAGGATCCCAAGCTATTCAGGAGTCAGCTCTGCAACTCAGCACTGCAAGTAGCAATTCCTTCTGATTTAACCTGTTCCTGGCTATCACTAACGTAAGGGCAGCTTCGCTGATGCATGGTGGCATTTTGGGCGTAACTCAAAGGGCCTCCCAATCGCTGGCCCTGCTGAAATCACGGTGCTATCCAACCCTATTTGGAGTGAGTCTCGTTAAAAGCCTTTATGGTGGTTTCAGCCACTAAAGGTTATGGCTCCTGATCTGTCTTCACAGCCTCCTACCTTTGCTTCTTCATTCACACCACTGTTAAGATCTAAAAGGCTGCTCCAGGAGTGGGCAGTGCTGGCAGCGTTACTTACAGCGGTGAACACAGCCCTACACTGGCATCACTACCATGAGCCTTGCAGCCTGTCACTTTGGACAGAGTAGAAACACTGCTGTTTTGCAGGTGTCCTTCCTCCTCCAGCAGCAGGGAACATCCCTCTGTATATCTCGACTTCAGGCACTCAGAGGTAGGTACTTGCTTTTCTGGAAGGAAGTGGGTGCTCAGTGCTGGTCATTACCAACCCAAAGTGATCACTTCATTCAGAAGTTGGAAGTAAGGTAGATTTGTCACCCTGACTGCTCAAAAGGAATAACGCAAAAGGCAGTTTTGCAAGTGTGGCACTTGCGTGGAAACAAAGCAATGAAACGCTTTATCTCAGAGCCTAAAGTTATTGTGAAACACTTGTACCCTGCAGCTCCAAACGGCCCCAGGAAACAAACCCTCCCCGAGCAGGCTGACCTTGGCTTAACACAAGCACAGCCACACTCCTCTGATCTCCTGGGTATCTCCCTAAACTTCTGCTTTGCACGTCCAGTGATAATCACAGCAGGGTCACAGGACCTCCAAGTACTCTCTGTACAGGGCAACAAGTGTGGCCCTCAGCTTTGAACCCTGCTTAGGACAGGTCTGTCATTCTCAAAACAGCCAAAGACAGCAGAGGGCCAAGAGGCGCCGTCTGAGCAGCAGATAAAGAGCGCTGCATATTTTTGAAGCCCGCATTGGTGACAGGTAAGAGGGAATCTGGATTTAAAGAGCAGCAAAAGCAATTTGACTTTAGCAGCTGGAGCCTCCCAGTGACCTTGCAGCCAAGTTTGAATTGCAGCACCAGTACGGCAAATTAAGAAATTTGCCTTATTCCCCACTCCAGTGCAGACAAATTGTGTTACACAGTTTAGGAGGAAGCCACAGCTTGGCTGAAGAGCTGGAGGACAACACTTCCCAAGATAACTGCCCTTCTCCTTGCCCACCTTGCAGGCTGGAGAGCAGAGTCCCTGCTCTCACCCCTCAATACACAGATGGAGGGAAGGGATTCAAGATACACCTGCACGAGTTTCAACAGCCATGGCACAAAGGACACAGCAGAGGTACAAAATTCACAGCTGATCCAGAGCACACAGTCAGTGCCTTGCTTGAAACAAGGAGTGAGGCTCAGGCTCCCTGGTGCAGCAACACAGCACAACCCCCCCTTCTTGTTCATCAGAGGCAAGCTTCAGGGACCAAAGTCCAATTAGAGGCCATGAGATGCTTAGGAAATAGTAAAAGGAATCTACCACTTTGACACCAGGGCCCTCCTGCTTCCTGTGGCACAGTAAGAGAGCCCCAGACAAAAGCCAAACCTGCCCAGATCCAGTTTAGCTCCAGACCCATGCAGCCCGCTCCCACCTCCTGCAAGGCTGGCTGCGGCAAAAGGGAGGGCAAAATAAAGAGCACCCTAAATAGGTTGCAGTCAATCTTTCTGCTGGTGTTTTTTCGGAGAGGCAGGAGATGAGGCTTTTTTCATGCTGCAGGAACTGAGGATGCTGGAGGTGTTTTTTTGGGGGGGCAGGAGACGAGGGTTTTTTCATGCTGCAGGAACTGAGGATGCTGGCCTGGTCTCCCATCACAACTGTACCCCCCCAAAATCGCTCACATTCAGAGGCAGAGATTTCTGTTGTTTGGGATCTTACCTCTTCTCTTGCTGATATGGTGGAAGCAGGAGTGTTGGGCACAGAGCTGAGGGAGGTGCTTAATCCCGTCCCCAGTGAACTCTGCGAGTCCCCATCTCCAGCAACATCGTGAATCTCTCGAGCAAGGATGGCCACATCCTTCACCAGCGTCTGGCTGAGTCTGAAGCACAGGGCACGCAGCAGAGCCATTAGCACACATGACACAACAAGCCTTGTACTCATAAAATATAAAAGGAGCAGTCTTCAAAAGTTTGTATGAATTACAATCTCTGCAGAGGCTAGGGAATGAAGTTTCACTGGAGGATATCTTGGCAGGGTACTGAGGAATACTCTGAGGGCATACAAGAGGAAGAAAATAAATCAACTCCCCACCTGAGCCCAAGCAGAGATTGGATAAAAACTCAATTGTAGTGACTATACACTACCAGAAAGTACTGGAGACAATCCACAATAAGGTGTTATGTTATGTTATTGCTTTCCCACCCATCCACTCTAGTTCCTTCTTTTTTTTTTAATTTAAAAGAACACAGACACTTCTTCTTCTTGAGACTTCTTTCTTTTCTCTTAAAAAGCCCATACAAGGAAACACCTTTTTCATTATTACTTAAATAATAACATTTCAAAACCTCTTTCCTTCTCCTTTGTATTTCATAGCCTGTAAATCAAAGTATGCCTCCAGGTCCTCCAGAAGGGCTGAGGGATCACCAGGGTAGGCATGGCATACACCTTAGAGGGATCTGGCTTTTGAAAACCAAGCCTTGAAACTCCAAGCCCCTTGACAGATACCCAGTTAACACTCAGCAATGGCAGCACTCTCCTCTACTTGCTCTACATCTCAAAACCACTTTCTAAAGTCTCAGGATTGCTGCTAGCAGAGCTTAAAAAAACAACGAAAACCCTTCAGACCAAAAGTAGCTGCTGTGGTAATTTTGAAGAAAAGCATCTAAGAGAAAGAAGTGATCTTCCAGCTAGTTGGCTTCACCTGAGAGGCACTTCCTCCTTTAACTCGAAAAACCAAGCAATGTTAAAAACCTGTCAGTTCATCAAAACATTTCCTTGGAAAGAAAAATGCACAATTACACTCATAAAAGCAGCTTGATCTGCCTGCCTAAGGTGGCCCCTATCTGTGCTGGTTCGGATACAGCTGTCACTGTACACGTCCATTACGTGATTCACTTACTGTAAACAAGCGGCATTCTCCCTTTTAACTCCGACTCTTCTAAACCCCTCCCAGTTAATTTGGGAGCAGCAACGGAAATCAGAACTGCAATTACGAAGCAGACTCTGCAACCGAGCCCTGCAACACACAGTGCCAGACAAGCCTGACGCAACCGCTTATTTATAGCTGCTGCAAGCCCGAGTCCTCTCTGGTGCTGACAAGGCTGCGAGGAGGGAAGAGGCGTCTCCCGCACGCACACCTCACGCGGTGCAGGTAACGCAGCCTGGTGGGAAGGCTGACACACTTTCTAGCCGCCTGGCAGCGACGTTCACACAAGAAAATCCCTTTCGAGATCACTGCGGCAAGCGAGAAGCGTGACCTGGAAATGCTGACCAAAAGCAGACAGAAGTCAGCTTCCTCCATTGAAAGTATTTCAAGAATGGCCAGGACAATGGAAGACCAGTATTTCTGGAAAGTTGGCATAACACAGTTGCATATTAGAGATGTCAAACCTCAAATGCCACTGCTTAAAAAAAGAAACTATTTGCTTTATTGCTAAGGTCCTCCAGGCAACCAGCAGACCACCAGTATACAATAGGTCCTGTATCCAGGGACATCGAGCTAAGCAACAACTCATTTATACACTGAACCCAGACAGATTTTCTTGTTTGGATTCAATTGAGTCAAGCAAAGAGGTTTCTGCCCTGCAGTGACTGCTTACTGCTCCCTCAGTGGCTTCAGGCAAAGCAACTTCAACAGTTTACGTATTTATTCAGTCTTTGCTAATCCATTTGACTTCCTCTGCAGAGAATTGGGACAGTTCACGCCAACCGCTCCATGCGCACAGAGCAGCTTCCAGCAGAAAGCACAGACAAGCAGGTACAGACAGCTACATCTTTTGACAGACTTACAGCTAAAAGAGGATACCTGTCCATAGCTTGAACTAGAAACAAACCAAGATACAACCCAGCTTTCCTGTCCCTTGGCATTTTCTAGAGAGAAGATACAACCAGCATTGCCCAGAACAGGCTGTAAAGCTTCACGAAAACCTTTCAGGTCTGAACATGATGATGCTCAGATATGAAGGACATGAGGAGCACACAGACAACAAGAGAGAGTGCCTCTCCTTCCAGCTCCACATCTGGGTTTGTTCTGAACACCCAAAAAAACCCCACCTCAATCCATTTTCAGCACAAAGCTCCACCTCACCTGGCGATTTCTGCTATCTCTGCTGTTTGTGCCATGAAGTTGTAGGGGTCGGGGTGGTCGTCAAAATCGTCGTCGTCATCTGTTTCTCGGCCGTTATGCTTCTGCTTGCTCAGCCCAGAGCCACGTATCCTCGGCGTCTGTGTGGCTGTTGAAGTATGGGAGCGTTTGTGTTTAGGGGAGCTGTGATTTGAGCCATATTCCTCCTCCGAAGTAGAAGTGTAATCTGAACCCTGAGGTCTCCGCCTTGACGCTTATAAAAAATGAATTGGTTTCAGACTGAGGAAAGCGGTAAAGAATAACTACAAAAGGGCAAAAAAGGGTATCACAAAACTAGCCCAAGAACACAAGGAAAAGAGAGTTTCTGTGCAAATTTTAAGCGAAACAGCACATTCTCAGAGCTTTTTTCAAAGTTGAGCACTTCCACGGCTCTCATTCACTGTACAAATTTGGAGTGGGAAATTCCAATGGAAAAGCAAAATGACTGTATTAACAGCTCCAATGTAGTAGATCACCACAGACTCGGCTTTCCATGCACAGAAGCTCTGTGTATAAGTAGCACACGTTTCAGACTCCTCATACTCCCACAGAAGTCCTTTTCTACAAAGAGCCCAATTTTCAAGCCTGCAGACACCTCACCAATTAGCTGCGAGTACAAGCAAAAGGAGGGGTTTTTGAGCGAAGAGGTGCTTGGTGTTATTTGCCAGAGTCCACACCCCCACATTCCCCTCCTGCTTCACAATTCCCCATTAATGGCACTCGACGAGAAAGGGCGTTCACTTATCTCAACTGGTTCTGCAGATCTGCAGACACCCAGGTCCTCCTTGCATGGGGAGCATCAAGGTGCCCTTATCTGAAAACTGGGCTCCTGGTGTTGGTGCCTCACTACGCTCTCTACAGACACCACTTCATTCCCTTCCAACCTTCCCTGGAGAATGAAGACCCACCAAACACAGAACCAGCCGAGTTATGCAAAATCACACCACCGAAAAGCTTCACTGTGTTACCAAGATTATCTTAGTGCTGAAATACTGCAAGCGAATTAAGCCAGCATCTTAGATCATAGAAACAAACACAACAAATTTGGCATTTAAGATGCAGGTAGAAACTATAGATAATCACTGTATAGTGAAAAAAAGTATTCCTAGACATCCCTGTGTCAGCTATAGCTATATAAATGGCTTAGGATTAAAATATGTGCATATACAGAAAAGATAAATGTGCTCATTTTCAATCTGAAGTTGGTTTTTTTCCCAAATACGGGTTTAGAATCAAGAGGTCACCCTGTCACCGAACAGAAATTTTAAAGTGAAGAGTCTGATTTCCCACCCCTGTACACCAGAGGAAACCAGGATCGCCTCCCTCAGTGGCATTCAAGTTACACTGAGTGAACAAATCTTGTACACAGAGAAGCAGGGGAGACGGGCCCTGCGCTTTCACAGCTGGTAATCTGGATTATTCTGATGTAATCTGTGTGTTTCACACGAAGTTACCTCAGACGGCCTGACGCTCTACTGGCACTTCTTGTCTCATGGCTACATAGTTCATTCTGTTCCTCCATTAGTGAGTGACTTTCTCCCACTGGGAGAGCTGGAAACTATTGTGGTTAGCTAAACACTTTAAGAAATCCTTGAATAAATCAGCCACATCTGCCTCCTCAACTCCCAAGGCTTGACAATCAACGCTTTGAAGGGTTATTGCACCCTGCTAAAAAGTGTCTTGATGGCACAGTGCAACAGTTCAGTTTATCAAGGCTTCGCTTTTGTTCCAGGAACGGGGTGCTAGGTGTTGATTCACTACATCTACAATAGCATTAGTATAGGGGCAAGCATCAGGATGAAGCCTGAAGGACACTTAGAGCTTGCACAAGGTCCACAGTCCTATCAAGGAATTAGGTGGTTAGTATTTTAAGAGCAACTAATTCAGAGAAAGGATTAGCACCATCTGCTGCGACTACGCACAAGGAAAGGTGTTAGCATGCTGCTACAGAGCTCTGGAAATCAAAAACCAATTCATTTAGACCAAGAACTGGCCAACACTTATCACTTTTCTCCAAATGATTTCAAGTCTGTGATCCAAAGGGAGAGGAAGTGCAAAGGATGCCTCCTGTTTGCAAATCTCTGGCCACGTTGTTTTGCTTTAAATTTGTTGTTGTTTAACAAGAAGTCAGTAATAGCATCATCTCGGAAAAGGCAAGAGAAGAGACTATACACACTCTTTTAGCTTATTCACATTGGGATTTACATGCATATAGAAATGTGTGAGGAAAAAAATCATCAGAGGGAAGCTGGATGCACCAAAACGATACAAACCAAAACAAGCAGCAAATGACCTTTTTAGCGTGCAATAAAAATGAACACTGCAAGAAGGGCAATTCTTTCAGCTGTATGCAAATACACAAAAACAACACACCCAGGACTCCAAGATCCGTCACAAAAACGCAGATCTGCTGAAAACAGTATCCCCCTCAACAAGCCAGAGAAAGCCAGCCAAAGGGGTTCCTCCTGTCCCTCTGCCCCAGCCTGGCATTCCCAAAAACCTGAGCTAACAGAATTATTGTGCCACATCCATGGTAGGTCAAGGACTACGGGCACAGACCAGGACTCAGACCAAAGGTGCTTGGGGACAACCTCTGATTATCAATTACCACCTCAGAGCTGTCATCTGCATTGTCCCCAGCTCTTAAGTAAAGGTTTATTTCAATATGACAAGCGTGGATATTTTGCAAGGGTCTGCTGAGCGCAGAGCTTCAGGGAAAGACATCCCCACATCTCCACCTCGTGGAAACAGGGCTCTGCACCTGCCTTACCCATGGCAAAAGGGAATGAGAACACACAGCAGTGGGAATCTCTTGGGGCAATCAACGTGCAGTGCCCGGCTCCACATTTCCACGTACAGGAAGGGAACAGCCTTCACAACACAAGGACATTTATTTCTTGTTCTCCTATTTCAGATGTCTTCAAACTTGCCACCTTGGACATCGGCTGTCATCAATACCACTATAAGCTCTCTTGGAGTAAACTTTGAATCTTAGAAGTCAAAGGAAACCAGAACAGAATTCCTTATAGCACTGAAAAGGCATTAAATTCTACCTGTTTGCAGAAAAATGGCTAACACGCTCCCGTCAAATGACAACAGTTTGTTCAAAAAAAAACAGTCACTGGGAAAATAAAAAAGGCAAAGAAAAATAGCTACTTTCAATATCCTCCCAGACACCACCACAATAACATCTCACTGGGTATGAGAGATGCTCTGCTGTCTCCAAACCCACAAGAAACCTCAACCTCCACACGACTCGTTAATGCAGATTTTTGTACTCACCGAGGCAGCGCTTTTAACACTGAGATACCAATCCTTGGCAACCACAGGCAGCCTGTAAATCAGAAAGAAGGGGACCAGGGGAGAGACGAAGCACGAGCACTTACTGGATGAGGAGGAATACTTGACGCTGCTTGAACGAGTCCTGCTGCGGGGGACCTCCGCCCGCCGTTTTCCTCGCTGCTGCTCTGACCTCCGAAATCCCCGTCGTCTTCCGACAGGTCTCCACACTCCGGCCAGAAAAGCCCGACCTCGGCTGTGCCGTTTCGGAGTCGCTGGGCACCGTAAACGAGCCTGCCCGTTTCCTCGGCATGGCGAGAATGTCCAGCCGGGAGAGCTTCTTCGTCTCTGTGTTCTGCTTGGTGCCTGCAGCGGCGGCTTCAGAGTTGGAGGCCGTTTTCTCAGTATCGACGCATTCGTTGTCCGAAGCATCTCCCAGCCGAGCACGACGTAGCTTTGAGGCCCTCGTGGGCCGCGGGGTGGATAAACTGTTGGAGCGGGTGAGAACTTGCTGGATTTTCTGCACATTCGAGGTCGTTTTGCTGGGGTCCTCCTTGGTTGCCTGAGTAAAAGGTTTCCTTCTGGGGACCGGACGGGTTACCGGGTGCTCATGGTCAGACACGACTGCATCGGGGACTGGCAAGTAGGGCAAGCTTGAGCTTCTCTCATCATCTGTGAAGTCGAGCGACCCTCGAGTCCCAGCACTCCGCTTCATCTGGAAGCGTTTGGCGGCCTCAGCACGGTTTGACGCCTCTAGCGCTTGTGTTTTTCGCTTCTCCGTCAGCCTGTCCCGAGCACTGGGCTGCACGCACTGGTCCTGGATGGATGGCGTGGAGGAAGATTTTTCCTTCTGCAAGCTCACCACCGCTTTGCGTTGCGGGGCGCTCGCCGGGACGTTTTTGCCGCTCACCAAGCTGACCGTGCTGGCCGTGTCCACATCCGAATCCCCTGACAAGGAGTCCTCCAGTTGACCAGCAGTTTCCGAGGGCTCCGCCTGTTGGCTTTGACCAAGTAATTTGGCTTCCAGCGCTGCCAAGGCAGTTTCAGTGTCCTTAAGGAGAAGATGAGTTTCCTGACCAAAGTCCATGCGAGTTGACCGAACAGCCTCTAAGTCTTTAAGCAGAGGGTGACTTGAAATACGTGGGAGTTTATTTTGAGGAACACCACTGTTGGATTTATCTTTGGTAAAACTTTCCTGCCTAACAAAAGATGATGTTTCCTTTCCTGACGTGTTTTCTTGATCTTGAGGAAGACTCTGATGAAGGGAAATAACCACTTTGCCAGCTGCATTTATGTAAGCGCTAACATCTTTGACCGGTGGCTTTCCAGGAACTGATGTGCCAGCAGGCTTGAAGGAAAACTCCTGATCTTTGCTGTCTTTGTCTGCTCGAGCATGGGACACACTCAGAGAGAGCTTAGAGGGAATCCCCACAACGCTGCTGTCATCACCAATGTAGAATGAAGTAGCAACTGGCTCATTTACAGCTCTCGCATTTGAGACCCGGGAGGCTCCTGGCTGCCGGCTCTCTGATCTCGTGTCTTCCGCCATCTGCTCTAGCATTTTATTGTTCTCTTTATATTTCTTGCCTTTTTCCATGCTGAAGCCATCGTCAGATCTGCTGGCATCACTGAGGCTATCCGGATCCAAGTCCTCTTGGATGAAGAGGCGGCTGCTGGGGTCACTATAGGCTTCCACACCATGGTCCTTCACGGTGGTTCTCTTGGTAACCTCGGAATAGGCCTCCTGGCAAACCAGGACCGTGGGCGTGGGGCTGTCTGATTTATCGCTCGGTGGGAGCTGGGGAAGAAGGCGCCTTGTTCTCAAAGGCACAGCATTTTCTGGTTCTCCGGGTTTTGGAGCTACACCGCTTTCTGAAGAGAGTTAAGTGCATGAGAATCAACTGTTGTACAATTATACCACTTACTTACTTATTTAGGAAGAGCTTGATCCTACAAAATGCAAGTCCACAAAAGCACTCACAAGACACATGCTTATGTTATGGTTTAAGGGTTCCCAGCGTGAAAAGGGACAGGTGGTGTCTGTAGGACCCTGGGCGGTCCGAGATCACTTCTGTTCCCTCCCCTTTCCGGGCACAGTCTATAAAAAACCGAGGAGGCCCGAGGTTTTCGTGGGCTTTTCCTGGCTTCCTGGGCCGCTTCTTGTGGCATCTCAGGACAGCTGGGCCTAGCTCCTCGTGCTCGGCAGCAT